GGCGGCCTGCTCCGTGAGGTCATCAGAGGGCCCGCGCAGAGGCCTGCTCCACGTGGTCATCGCAGGGCCCGGGTGGTGTTTGGGTGGCGGCCTGCTCCACATGGTCATTGGAGGGCCTGGATGGTGTTTGGGTGGTGGCCGTTTTGGTGGTTGGGCCATCCTCTCTGCAGCCATGGCAGTCCTTCCTGCATGCCCGTCTTCTCCTGTCTGGGCACCTCCCAGCATCTCCGCAGCGCTCCTCCTGTGGCCCTGGAGGTGTCGGCGCACCCCTAAGCGCCCTTTGCCGAGAGGCCAACTGGCAGGCGAGCAGCTGGATCTGGTCGCAGGAGTCCTGCTCCCCACCCGCTGCCGCGTGGCTGCTCCCACACCGAAGGCCCCGGGGCTGCGCGGCACACCAGCCACATCTCATTTGCACAGAAGTGACCAGTCTCAGGGGGTGGGCTCTGAGTGCAGCCGCAGGGAGGTGGCGACAGGGACCAGGAGGGTGAGATTACGTGCAGGACTGAACGCTGAGCTGTGGGCTTCCAGGCAGCGCCGGCAGCCCAGGGAAAGTCTGAACCTGTCGGGAGAGGGATGAAGCAGGGGCCTGCCTGCCCAGACTTCACCAGTCACCGCTAACAGGCCAAGAACATTCTCCCGCTTATTCTTTTATTGATTTATTTACTTTTTTTTTTTTTTTTGCCATAGGGCATGTGTGCTCACTGGAGAGAGACAGCTATGGAGAGGGAAAGTGAGAACCCACCTTCAGAGGGGGTGGTCACACTGCAATCCCTTCTCCATTCTCCTCCTGGGATTTTGAGCATGCACATGTGCCCAGCATGATTATCAAACTCCAGGTCCAGGACTCGAACAGTAGTCAGCCATGTGGGAGTCCAGCACCTTACCCACCACACTACCTGCTGGCCCCAAAAGAACCTTGAAAAGATGCCGGGATTAGGCTTCCTTGGGAGGAGTGCCAGGAGGCCCGGACGCAGGGTGAGCTCGAGTAGGATAGCAGCATCGCTCTGTCTAGGTCAGGCTTCTTTCTGTTCTCCCTGTCCTCCTTCCTTGGGAAATTCCAGGCTGGTTAGCTCACGTCCTGGACCTGAGCCGGCCCAGAGCATGGTTTAAATCACTGTGCTCCCGGTGACTGCACAGGGACATCTTAAAAGGATAAATCTATTTGTTTTACACTGAGATAATGGAAGAGCGCTCCCAGCCACTCCAGGATCCCTGCCTGCCAAGCTGGTTTTCATAGCATATTTTTACAGTTGGTTTCTCTTCTCTGAAAGGGAAACTGAAAAACCAACAAACAACGAAGCCCTTAGCAGCGCTCGTGCCAACAGCGATGGAGGCCGACGGCGTCCTCGCAGACCGGTGCCAGGCTGGGCAGGCTGATGACTTCCTAGGCGTGGGAATGAAGATCCCGAATTCCGAGTCCTGGGAGACATCCGTTTCCAGGCTGTGCTGAGCAGGGAGTGAGAAGCCGCTTCCGTGACTGCTCGGTGACCTCATGCCTGAGCCCATGTCCCACACCTCCTCTGGCAGGAGTCCTTGTTTCAAAGGCCCAGCCTCTGCCTCGTGCACAGAAGTCCCTTCCTATTTTTAAGCGAGCCCCAGACTACCTCGGTTTTAGATTCTTGAACCTTACGCTCTGCAGGGAAGGGCAGAGAGGAGAGGTGGGGAACAGAGGGAGGGCAGAGACGGACGTGGGAGCACACAGGGAGGCAGGCTGCCCGGAAGGGCTGTGCAGAGCCGCTATGGCAGTGACGGCCGGCTCCAGTCGCTCGAAGACCTTGCCAGCACTTGTGGGGCTCTGGGTTTAACAGTGCCCGGCCCCGGGCCACAGGCAGGCCTCCTTCTTGACTCCCCTTGGGCTCCTTGCGTCCGGGACTGCCGGCCCCGGGCTCATGGCCGGGCTGCCACCTTGCCCACTGCGCGTGGCTGACCACGTGGCCTCCCTCACAGCCCAGCAGGTGGCCTCACCTCTCCTAGGCTGCGGACCTGCGCATGCCGGAGCCCTTGCCGTGGAGACGGACAGGCCGGGCTGACCCGGAGGACTGGCCCTGCGGGGACAGAGGTGGGTTGCTGGAGGCCTGGATGCGCTGTGTGCGGCCCTCCAGGCAGTGGACGGCCCTGCCTGGCTGGCTGCTGCCCCGCAGTCACCTCCAGGTCAGGGCCGGCCCCCTGAGGCCTGCTGACCAGCTCCTTCGCGCCTTGCGCTGCGGCCTGCTCCTGGGTTGCTCTTTCCTGGGTTCCCTTCTCACCCGAACGTCTGACTGCTCTGAACGCATGAGCCAGACCCTCGGATCGCGGTGACGCTTTCGGGAGTGTTCCCCGTGAAACTGCAGCTCGGTTGCTCAGCAGACAACTTTTTTAAAAACCAAAGTTGATAAACACAGGGAAGCTGAGGACAGGCCTCCCAAGCCATCCAGGAGCTGGCCTGAGAGCGTGCGCTAGCGCCTAGCCGGTTGCACGAGGGGAGAATGTGGCCAGAGGTAGCCACAGAGCACCCATGGCCAGCTGTGGGTGAGTGGGTACGGAGCAGAGCCGGCCGGGGCTGATGGCGCTCACTGCTGAGGGGTGGCCAGCTGGGCCGTGAGGCTGGGACTCCTGCGGAATGCCGTCCTCCCTTCTCCATCGCTGCTGGACAGGGCTTCGCGTTTTGCAAGCGGGTGAAACCGCGCTGGTTACCAGCAGCCCGGGCGTCTCGGAGCATGTGGGTGGTCGAGCTGCCCTGGCTGCCAGTGAGGGCTCCACTCGGCCCGGAGACTGGGCATGGACCTGGCATCCCCAGAGTGGCCTTCTCTGCCGTTTCCCTGTGTTTTCCTGTGATCAGCCTCCCTGTGGCCCCACGAAGGTGCGGGTTTGATAGAGCGCCTCACCCCTCCCACCAACATAGGTAGACCTGTGGCTGCAGGCGTGGCTGCTCCACTGTGGCCGCCGGGGGCTCCTCAGCATTGACTAGGGGAGCCTTGCCCCCAGGGAGCCCCTTCTATGACCCCCAGACTTCCCGAGACCTCCGCCCCCAGAGGGTGTGGGGGCGGGCACACGGGAACAGTGGTCTGCTGAGTGCCGTCCCGGAGTGCTCTGAGCTGTGAGCCCGGCCCCCGGGCAGGGACACTGCCTGCTCAGATGAGGTGACGTGCCATGCGGGCAGTCAGGGCCCGTCTGGACTCGGCACCGGCTATGTGACCCGCGGCCAGTGCTCCTAGTCAGGGCACGAGACCCGGCAGTCCACAGACCCGCTGCAGCGCACGGCCAGACGCGGTAGCCTCTGTATTCAAAGCCACATCCCAAAACCCGAGATGTAGTTGCTCAAATTTTCACTTTCAACTTGTCAAGACCAGTGATTTCGAAAGACGTGGGAGACTGCGGACGAGACTGACAGGGGCCACAGCCCCTTCTAGAAACACAGGACGCTGCGTGACTCTGCGTCCCCGGGCCCTCGGGACATGCTTCTCCAATAGACCCCACGAAACCCCCAGGGGAGGAAGCCCTGCTTAGGACAGTAATTCCCTCCTCCATGTGACAGATCAGGTGGCCACAGGGGGCAGAGGGCGCCACACTTGAGTGGGAAGATCAGAACCCCAGGCGGTCCGCGTGGGCCTTTCCCGTGTCACGGTCCAGTCCCCCCACCTCTCCCACCCAGGGGTGACTGGATAGCCACGGAAGGAGGGTCTGGCTGCTGCTCTGCCCTCCCTGAGAGTGGGGGTAGTAGCCCTGCCTCTGGTGTCCCTTCCCCTGAGAGTCCTTGCAGGGTTCCAGCCCCGGGAATCGTATCAGGGCCCGCTTCCTGAGAGGGTTTCCTGAAGAGAAGGGGGCCTCGGCCTCCAGGCCCCTAAGCCTGAAGAGGCCGATCTGATTTTTAGGGGAAGAAAAAAATCTTTTTGTTTTTTAAACTCATCTTAAGCTCACTGACAGGAGCCCTGTCTAGACTAACAAGGCAGAGGAACAGAGACATGCAAGCACAAGTGTTCTAGCCCCGGAAGAGCCTCCGAAGAGGAGCACAGGGGCTGGGACCGGGCCTCGCACAGCTTCTTAGCCGTGCATTTGGAGGGAAGTGGTTCGCCCAGGAGAAGGACTTTGCATTTCTAGGGCAGGGGATCCTGGAAAGGGACCTACGGGAGCATAGCAGGTGGCGTGGGCTGGCGGGGAGTGCCGGTGCGTCCCCGGGCTGAGGAGGGTCTGGGCTGGGCTGGCGGCCAGTGCTGTGTGCGTCGTGTCCCCAGTGGACCCTCAGTCTCCGGGAGCTTCGTGAGTAGGTCAGGGTCAAACAGTCGCTCCAGTCCCTCCTGAGCAGATGTGGCCCATGGCCCTGAAGCGCAGCCCCGTGGCCTCCGTTCTCCCCGGTTACCCAGTGCCCTGTGCCGTGAGCGGCAGGAAGGCTGGCAGGGGTGCCCGGTGGTCAACTCAGTTCTGTGTGAGCCACCCTGAGGAGCCGCTGGGACGGCCCTCTCTAGACACACAGCTCTGGGTCAAAGCTCCGGTTTGTACCTCGCTCCCCAGGGCCGCAGACGAGTCACTGCACTTCGGTGGCCCAGTGTCCCCGTCTGAGGGGGGAGCACGGCTGACCGGGAGGGTACAGAGCTCGTGCACTAGGCACCTGGGCTGGGACGGTGCTCGTCCAGTGTCACCCACTCCCTGGCCTCCCCTCGGGATGCCAGGTACCTTGGGCCGTCATGGCAGAGCAGTGTTCTGCAAGCTCGGTAGCCAGGCTGAGTCCTGCTACATGCCTGAGAGCTGGCCACAGGGAGCACGGCACACACGCAGCCAGCCTCCTGCTGCCAAGGGTGCAGTCCCAGAGCTGGGGGCCAGGGGCGCGGGTGCCGAGCAGGGCCAGCCCCCTTCTCCCTCTGAGGCAGCCCCTCCTCCCGTTCTCCAGCCAGGCTTGACCGTGCAGGCCTGTGGGCGGTGCAGCCACTGCCCGCCCTCCCTGCCCGCCTGGCTGCCTGCCCAGACCGGCCGCCATGCAAGGGTTAAGGTGGAGGGAGGGGCCGCTGACGTCGCTCAGACTGGTGGTTCCCGAGGAGGCCGTGGCCACAGCGCCTCAGACAGCTGGAGGTGGCAGCAGGAGCCACCTTGCTGTGTCCCCGCCTGCCACTGCCCACCAGGATGCCCAGCCGCTGGCCCCCGCTGGTGCTCGCGTCCCTGCAGCTCCTCGCTGCTTGGTCCCTGCCCCGAGGTACTGGGAGGGGACGGGGTCAGAGGGGTGGGCGGGCGGCACGGGCACGCTGCCCTCCGAGAGAACCCACTTCCCTGCCAGCTCAGCTCTGGCTGAACTTAGCGGAGCTGCTTTCGAGGGGAGCCTTGCTGGGAGTTCACCAGCTGGAGCCCGGGTCCAGCCCTCGGAACGAAAGCCTTTTCCCTGGAAAGTGCTTCCCGGGGACGGCAGGGAGGAGCAGACAGGGCTGGCTGGTCAGGACTGTCACTTGGGGATCCCAGTCCCAAGCTCTGAACCGCCCTGGACATGCCCTCTGCGGCACCCAGGAGCCTAGAAAGCGGGTGAAGTCTCGTCCAGGCTGTGCCCCTTCCTCAGGGCTCTGCTTCTTGGGCTCCCGGGGCACTTCTTTTCTTTTCTTTTTTTTTGGGAGAGGTTTTTGCTATAGGGCGTGTGCGCTCGCCAGACAGACAGAGACAGAGAGACAGAAAGCAAGAAATCACCCCCCAGGGGGATGACCACGCCACAATCCCTTCTCCTCCATTCTCCTCTCGGGATCTTGGGCACGTACGCACACACGCCCGGTGTGAGTTTAAGCCACTGGGTCTGGGATGTGAACCACGGTCGACTACGTAGGAGTCCAACGATATAGCCATTACGCTAACTGCTGGTCCCCCAGGGCACTTCTGAGCCAGAGCCCCGGACAAGTGGGCTTCCAGGGCCCATGAGACGGGATGCACCCCAGAGCCCCTGGGACCTGTGGAGCCCGGGCAGGAGGACAGCTGCTGGTGGGCAGGAAAGGGGCCTGGTGGGGGGTCTGGGGAGAACCTGGGGGGCTCAGATGTGACCATGAGACGAGCACCCTCCAGCTGCATGCATGGCTGCAGTGCTGAGAGTGAAATGGGGCAACTGGACGGCAGGAGGCTGACGGCGTCACTACTGCCTTGACCCCCGGCTGGCACCGCCGTCTGGTCTACCTGGCCAGGCCCGCCTTCCTTGGTGGCTACAGACGGAGACCGGGTGCTGGGCGGTCCGGGCAGTATGAAGAGGGATGGGGCAGACAGGGAGGGCAGCCCGGCGGGCACCAGCGCCCAGTGGCCTTGCACTGAGACCATCCTGCCCGGAGCGTGGTCCCGAGACCGGCAGGCACCTGGCTCTCGGCAGAGCGGGCTCCGCCGTGGTCGTGGCTCCGTGCCCACTTCACCTGACGTGGAAAAAAACCACAGAGCCGAAAGCAAAGCTCGAGCTGCCCCTTCCTTCCAGCCCAGGGCCTGGTACGCTGAGGCTCCTGCCCTGAGGCCCGCTCCACCTTTGCCCATGAGCAGCCAGGTTGGGAACAGCTTCTCTCTCACCAGGCCTACTCGGCTGCGCACGCCTGCTGAGGGCCGGGGTGCAGGGGAAACTACATGGGCCGCTCCCTGCTGGGACGGGGCCCGGCCCTGCCGAGAGCTTGGAAGCAGGTTTCCAGGAGCAGCGAGGAAGCGTAAACAGTGGTGGGATGCCAGGCAGCTGCGCTCATCATCCGCACGTGACATGCCGGAGCGTGGGAGCCACACCCGAGGCCCAGCAGCAGGGGCGTGACCACACGCGGGGAGCCCCGTCAGCCCTGCCTGGGAGGGAAACCTCGTGTGAGAACTGCTCCGGCATGGGACCTCGGCAGACACCCGTGCCTGCCTGCCACAGCCGCCGTGGGGGACGGCAGTGGCTGGGGGGGGGGGCCGGGGGGCCCCGCCCAGAGCCGCCGTGGGGGACGGCAGTGGCTGGGAAGGTGACCTGAGGTGCAGCCGCCGGGGGCAGAGCCGGGACGTGTGGATTCCGAGGAGGGCGGTGACGCTGCACCTTTGTGGCAGGAGGGACATGGGGACTGTGGAGAGGGCGTTCCCCAGGGCCTTGTGGATTTCGGAGCTGAGAGTGACTTTAGAGACTGGCTTAGCTCGAGGCCCCAGTGTCAGGACAAGGAGCTGCACCCGGCATGTGGTGGACGTTGGGGCCGCCCCGCCCTGAGTCCCAGGCCCCCGCACCTACCCTCTCGCTGCTCTGCGGGGAGCTGGGTGCACGGGCTCCCTCGATCGAGCGGCCGCTCACTGCGTGTACCGATCGCGGGGGTGGGGTGGGGCACTCGATGTCCACAGCAGCACCGTCCCCGCAGGCAGTCCCCCGCGCCATCGGTCTGCGCACGGCACGGCGCTGTTGACACTCGGGGACGCGCAGAGGAGCCTTGCCCACCTCAGGCTGAGTGAGGGTGCGTCTGCGTCCGGGTGGAGGGGCAGCAGGGCTGTCGCAGGCTCAGGAGGTCAGTTCGGCGGAAACAGGTTCCCCTGGGGATGATGAGCCGGTCCTGGGGAGCCGTCAGCTGTGCGCAGCCTGGGGTTCCCGGGCCACTGCACTGGCACCGAGACGGTGGGGGCCGTTTCTGCGACATGGAGGCGGCCCAGGCGGCAGGCGGAGCGCTGTGAACGACTGAGTTCGGGGCCCAGGTGAGCCCGTCCCCCGCCAACCTGCACTCGCGTGTGTAGTGTGTGGACGCGGGCTGCCGTGCACCTCACTGGGGCGGGCTCAGGAGGCATGTGGGGCAGGGACGCCCCCGAGAGCCTGTGTCGGGCACGACTGCTCCTGTGGCCAGGGAGACCACGGAGCCGAGGCCTGCAGACGTGGCTCGAACTCAGTGCTGCAGGCAGACTAGGTCTCTGGGGGCCGGACACCCCCTTCCCAGCCCCTGTGTTCGACCCCACCAGGGGACCCGAAGGGACTAGCCCCCAAGTCCGTCACCTCCACTCCTCAGACGGCAGGGAGGGGGGGAGGGTGGACGAGTGCCAAGTCTGCTGCCAGGATGCCTGGTGAGAGGGCTTTTTTTTTTTCTTTTGAGAGATTTTTGCTGTAGGACACGTGCACTAACCAGAGACAGACAGAGATAGAGAGACAGAAAGCGAGAGATCACCCCACGGGGGTGGCCACGCCCTAGTTCCCTCTCTTCCGTTCTCCTCTCGGGATTTGGGCACGCACCCACACATGCCTGGCGGGAGTTTTAAGCTGCCAGGCCGGAGACTTGAAGCACGGTCGACTACGTGGGAGTCCAGCGACGGAACATTCACCTGCTGGGCCCCAGGAGCGTAAGGTGGTTACTTTCTTCTGTGAGCAGAAGAGGCAGAGCCAGCACAAGGGGAAGCGCGGGAGAGAGGAGAGAGGGCCCCGCAGGGTCCCAGCGTGGCAGCCCGGCCAGCCCGCGTCACAGGCACAGGGCGGTGAGGCGTGAGCCCAGACCCTGGGGCACCGGAGGCCGCTCCACCCCGGCCTAGCGGGTTTGCAGCAGCATCCGCGCCCAAAGGCCCCGGTCGTCCAACACGTGCTTGCAGCCGTGTTTCGAGCCAGTAGGCCACCTCTCTCTGGGAACTCTAACTTCCGGCCAGAGTTTTACTCTCCCGAAAGCCTTCAAGTGGGAGCTCTCCATGGAAGCAGGGCGGGGGGTTCTGCTCGGGGCAGTAAGCGGCGGCGGGCTCAGAAGGGCAGGCACCCTCTGACGTGCAGGTCCCGGGACCCCGGACGTCGCGGGCGGGCCTCAGAGTGCTGTGGTACCGGCCGGTGGGCTTGCCGTGTCTACACCTGGTTACGCTGGCTGGCCATGAGTGGCCGGCGCCGTGGTGCGTGGGGCCTGGTAACTGACCTAGTAACTGCCCTGGACATGCAGCACACGGTGGGGCCTCTCTGAGAGGCTTCCCTCCCGTCACCTGAGGGACAGAGTCCCACGCTCGGCCACCAGACCCTGAGGAGCTTGTGGGAGGCCGGTACTGCCCTGCTTCCCACGCCCTGCCTCAGCCCTGCTGCCCCCCGGGCCAGCGCAGTCACTGTCCACACAGAAGGCAGCGGGGCAGCACTGGCTGGGCTGTGGGATTTGCTGAGCATCTGGGTTTTGAACCCAGATAGTCCGGCTCTGCGGGGCCTGGCCCAGCACACCGCTGCCTCACGCCGGGAAGCACAGGTGCATGGTGGCAGCAGCGTGCTGGGCAGTCACGTGTGGCCACGATGCTAGTGAGAGGCCTGGGCGTCCCTTGCACTCTAGGACCCAGGTCAGTGAGGTCATGCCCCATTCTGCAGAGGGACAGGGCGTGGGGATAGGACAGCGACATGGGACCAAAGGAGCTGCTGCCCACGGAGACAGATGCCAGGCCTCTCCAGCCACCCCTGGGATGGCAGTCCACAGCGTCTTGTGTCTCACCCTATTAGACACAGGAGCGAGGAGTTCTGTTCTGTGGTCAGCCTCCGGTCCCTCACAGTCTGCCTGCCGGGGGACAGACCAACTTTGAGACGAGCTCAGGCCTGGCCCTGCCGCCCTCGCGCACAGTCCTTCGTGGGCTTCTCCATCACGGTCATTCCACGTGAACGCCTCAGTCGTGGGATTGCTGAGTAGGGGCGGTGTCACCTCCTCCTCCCTCTGTCGTGACCGGCTGATGGGTGTCACAGGCCCGGGTGCCCCAGCAGTACTGGCATGGCCCTAACCAGTCCACCTCAGCCTCCAGAGAGGGCCTGTCCTGAGGTTCATCCCCACAGAGAGGGTGGCGAGGGCAGTGCCCGTTGGCTGAACTGCACACAACCACCTCTCTCCCGGTGCCTTGGGGTCGGGCCAAGGCCTGCACCGTGCAGCCTTGCCTGCCCTCCTGGGGTCCCGGCTGTCTCCCAGTCGGCTGGTGCTTTGGCAGCAGCCGGGGTCCCTTAGAGTCTGGCTGGGTGGGGTGGAGATGGGGAACCCAGCACCTGGGCTGGGAGAGCCAGTCCCCAGGGTCTCCGCATGCAGGGCCGTGGCCAGTGTGCTGGGGGCTGCTGGGTGGAGGGAGGTTGGCCCCGTTTGCTTCAAATCAAGTGAACCGTCTGAGGCTCTAAGAAACTAAGTGCAGGGTTTTTCGAACCTGTTTCTACTTCTGTTTACTGCGTGGGAGGGACTCTTCCGAAGGTGACCAGTTAGCCTGGGGTCCCCACTCGGTGCTCACCGGGGGAGTGCAGGACAGCAGACACATCCTAGAGCAGCTGCCCGAGCTTAGCGTGAGGCAGTGACATCTGCTCCCATGTTCCCACACCCTGGGTGCGCTGGCACAAAGCAGAGAGCCATCCCAGGTGTGGGTGAGGAGTCTCCATGGCAGGACTTCTTGATCTGGCCTCTGCCTCCAGGGGTCGACTGCTTGCAAGTGGCGCCCTGCTTCCCTCCAAGCTGCTCCGGGTCGGCCTGCTGGCAGGACGATGGCGAAAAACGGGGCGCTCCCACTCCGCAGTGGCTGGAAAGTCCACGAGAGGTTCCCTTGTCTGCCCTTCCTCCCTACTCACGTATGAGGGCACGTGTGCCTGCTGGGGAGAGACGGGGTGTGGGAAGGCACCACCCATGGGACTGTCACGCAGAAGTCCCCTCTCGTCCTCCCTCGGCTCAGGACTCCGAGCACGCACGCACAAGCCCGGCATGTTTACCAAGCTGGTGCGTTTGGGACTGGTACCGTGCTGTCGGCCATGTGGCTCCGGCTACCCTAACCATCACCCCAAGGACTGGCCCTGCCAGGGAGGCTCCTCCCGTCAGCCTGTCACGGGCACCTTGGGAATTGCACCTTCGGGGTTACCCAGCGGTCTCCCCCGAGCGTCCGGGGCGCAGGGATGTTTGAAGGTGTGGTGACACGATGCATGACAAAACCCCCAGAGGCATTCGAACCTCGAGAGGGCCTGTGGCCCAGCTTGGCGTTCCCAGGCTGGACGTCACGTCCCCCCTGGGGGACACTGAGCGGAAGTTCTCTGGACGCAGTGATGCGACGTTGGTGAGGCGGAGCTCTGCGAAGCTGCGCTGCTCACCCGCGTTTGCACCGGTGTGAAGGTGACGCTCCTGTAAAAGCCAGATCTGCTGGGTCTGGGGAGCCGGCCTCAGGGCCAGCGGCCGCTTCTGCCACACGAGTTTGCGCCCCGACCCGAGGCTGAGAGCTACGCGCCGGCGTCTTTAGATGCTCCGCCGCAAATGAAGGGGGCGGGGGCACAGCTCCGTGTCCGCGTGTCTGGGAGAGGAGAACATGGGAGGGAAGGACAGACAGCCACTCGGCTCTGGGGGCGCCGCGGACACTGGGGCTGGCGGGCCGTGGTGCGTGCAGGGCCCGGCCAGGGTTCCCGGGGAAGGCCCCGTGCCACGCCGTCCCACTCGCTGCACGATTGACCTGCTTTACGCGTGGTCTTCGTGCAAAGCCTTTAGAGGTGAGGACGGGCGAGGACGGGCGAGGACGGGCGAGGATGGGCGAGGACGGGCGAGGACGGGCGAGGATGGGCGAGGACGGGCGAGGCGGCAGGAGAGGCGCGCG